GGTGTGGGATGGGAAGAATGTTGGTCTTCAACGCTTGGTATGTCGTGGCGGAACGGCGAGATAACCATAATGGAATAATTTTTTTGTTCTTTGAGTTTAATATGTGACCTGGTTACTTACATATCTTTGTTCACTCATCTTGCAAAAAATTGATTATGATGGTGAAAGTCGGTCCAGTTGCAGCAGGAAGCACCATCTCGATGTAAAGTTCAGTGAATGTGTTCATTGCGCAACAATTGAGGAAATGTAAACTTCTTCAATTCATTCATGAATCCAACCTGCGCGCATCTTCACTTCAATAACCATTTTGAATGGTTGAAAATGTCGACGGGTTGAAGAACCGGTCGGACTCGCCTTATCGCCTCGTCATCCATTATTTACCATCGCTACAATTTGCAATTTTCGACTTGTTTCATGGCAATCGATGATTATTCATGTCGTGAGTCATATCGAAGAGATGATCTTCAAGTCGTGACGAAAAGCGACCCCACCTACAGATAATTACACTAAAAGTAACAAGGCTATAATTGCGCACAATTGATTTGGTTGCATTTATGACTTTTGTAAGTAAGCATTATGGATTTCCGGCACGTAAGGAAACAGTCTCAAGGTTTTGTCACAAGCTAAAACACTCATATTATTTATTTAATTTTTCAAAAAAAAACCTCTATTATTTCCTCTGCTTTTTTGCCAGGAACGCAATCTTTTATGAAGTTTTCGATATTTTCACATAAAGAACAAAAGATAAAAAGAGATTTTGGGAAGGTGCAATTTTTGAAAAAAAAAGCCACAGGAATTACGAGTTGATTCTATTCCTTGCTTCAAGTAATTTGCTTCCAAATGAAATTTAAATTTTTTGTGATAACTTTTTAATGTAATTCAAATTTATGCTGATGTTGGCAATTGAATGCCGAAACATGTTTCTACGACGGTAAATTATAATTTTTTTTACAATTGGGGAAGCACCATTGTTACCTTCAATTTTTACAATTATAAAAGAAAGCAGATTTAACCCGTGGCAAATCTAAATTGACAAAAGTTCGATTAAGAGTTCTTGTTATGTAAATTTATGTCATTATCAAATTATAACAAAATATAGTTTTTCACACTTATTTCTACCGTTTCTGAGGTATTTTGTAGATTACTGATGTGTATTTTAGCATGAAAATAATCCAAAATATGTAAAAAAACTACTTGTTTAAAAAAATTTTGGTTACTGTGTTTTTCTTGGGACAGCAAAAGTACTAAAACAAGGGCACCTTCTTTTATTGGGAATTTTGGCGAAGAAATGTGTAAATTAAGAAATTTCTGACCCTGTGAGATGACGAAAATAATGCATGAAACGTACACCAAAAATTATGTAAAACTTAACAAAAAAATTTTAATTTGTGATTATGACAAATTTATTATTTATAATTATATTTTTTTACAGTTGGGGAAGCACCATTGTTCCTTCAACTCTTTCAATTCTAAAATAAAGCAGATTTAACCCGTGGCAGATCTAAATTAA